AGGTGGGCTTTCTCAGATTCAGCACCACTGATATTTTAGAACAGATATTCATTTCTTTTTTTTAAAAAAAATTAATGATTTATTTATTTTTGAGACAGAGAGAGACAGAGCATGAGTGGGGCAGGGGCAGAGAATGGAAGAGACACAGAATCCAAAGCAGGCTCTAGGTTCTGAGCTATCAGCACAGAGCCTGATGTGGGGCTTGAACTCACAAACAGTGAGATCATAACCTGAGCCAAAGTTGGACACTTAACCAACTGAGCTACCCAGGCACCCCGAGAACTTTTTTCATTGTTTTGTGCATTATGGAATGTTCGGCAGCAGCCCTGGATTCTACCCATCAGGTGCCAATAGCACTCTGTACCCTAATTATAACAACCAAACATGTGTCAAGATATGGCCAAATGTCCCAAGGGACAAAACCGCCTCTGGCCAAGAACCATGACCTTACAGGAGCACTGGAAGCGATTCCAGGCTCCATCCATCTCCCAGAGCAGCCCAACCTTTCCTGGACTCATAGTCAGATCCCCTTCTCCCCACTGGCTTGGTGTGCCCTCTGTTCTAATTCCTTTCCTGCCTTTTCCAATCCCATCAAACTTCTACTGTGCCCTGAGAACTTATGAGCAGCTCTCGACTCCCCTATAGTCTCAACCTCTTCATGGAATATTCCTTGTTCCCACCCTGAACTTAGGACGCTGTTCCCCATAGCCTTCTCATATGGCATGATGGACTCCTCTCTCATACCCACATATTCCTCTTTGCCAGTTCCAGATCGTTTCCCTCTCAACCTCTGTCTAGAAACCCAGCCCCTTAGAACAGGGGCTGGCAAACTCCAGCCTGTGGGCCAAATCTGGCTTACCACTTGTTTTTATATAGTCTGTCAGCTAAGAACGGTTTCAAATTTTTAAATGGTTGAAAAACAAACCAGAAGAATATTTCATGACATGTAAAATTCAAATCTCAGCATCCACACACAAGTAAATTCACTTGCTTACCCGTTGTCTATGGCCACTCTTGTGCTATGCAAAGGCGGAAGGCAGTTGAACGTTGCACAGAGTGTCTGACCTGCAAAGCTTAACATATGTACTATCTGGCCCCTGACAGAGAAAGTTTCCAAACCCTGCCTTTGAGGCACGTGGCAGTGGTCCATACCATCCACTCCCAGGCAGTTGTCATCATCTACTACCCGCCAGGTCACTCTTCCATGTGTATTAAAATATACACAGGACTGAAGGCCGGATGGCACAAGTGCTAACATTAGTGACTGAATGAAGTTCAAAATTACCTCTACAGGTTGGAATGTTGTGTGGGAATCAACAGGATGACATTTTTTAATATATTAAATCTGACGCAATGTTCATTATCAGAAAGACTGACATACAGAGCAGGAAGAAGACCTGCTATGTGCTGACAGAGGTGAGAACCAGGATGAATAGGGAAATACTGTGGGGAAATTTTATCCATGTGATGAAATGCTAGGCAGTAATAGAGCTATAAGATTATGGAGTGCACTTGGGTCAGAAGACCTTCCTAAAAGAGATAAAGTTCAGGGATAGAATGAGGTGCCCCAGAGAGGAGAGTGGGTGAGTGTGGAAGTACATAGAACTGTCTCCTGCTCTAGCCTTTAAGACTTTTTCTCCTTAGATTATATACTGTTATAATTTAAGCCAGAAACACTGATTCTTTTGCTGATTTGAGGCTAAAAATAATTTTTTCTTGGTAAAAAATGAAATCACCACCATTTTTCTCCTTTCCAGTGCAAAGATGGAAATACAAAGATGAAATTTAAAATATAAGTGCAGGGGTGCCTAGGTGGTTCAGTCAATGGAGTATCTGACTTTGGCTCAGGTCATGATCTTGCTCATGGGCTCGAGCCCTGCATCAGGCTCTGTGCTGAAAGCTCAGAGCCTGGAATCTGCTTCGGATTCTGTGTCTCCCTCTATCTTTGCCTCTCCCCTGATCATGCTCTCTCTTTCTCTCTCTCTCTCTCAAAATAAATATTTAAAAAAAATTTTTTTAAATAAAATTTAAGTGCAAAGATAAAACCCATTAAGGTACACACAGTCACAAAAAATACTTTTAGGAGACAGATGACCAATAAATTCTTACATGATTTGGCAAATGCTCACTGTAGAAGTGTAGGTTTCTTAAGAAACCAAAATGTGTTTGGTGTCTTCGTCCTTACTGGAACTAAACCACACAGTCCAGCAGGCTCAAGTCTTAAGGAAACTGAAATTTTTCTGCTTTTCAACTCTTCAAATTTTTATATTTACATAAATACACCTAGATGGTATATAAATAAAATTCCTATTCTAAAAAGTCAGAAGCACTAATCTCACTCAGTGACTATGTTTGGGAACGGTGGGTGGGGAAGTGGTTCTGTGTGATTTGGACATTTAAAAGCAAGGGCCAAAGACTTGTATTTAACCCACAGCTCAGCCCCTTAGTGCTGGGATCATCACACGGCACCAACCCCCAATTTTCTCACTTGTAAAATGAGGATGAAGACTCTTGTCCCACTAGATCCTACAGAGAAATTCAGATGATGTGTAAAAGGACCATCTGAGTGGAAAGGCGCCATATGCATTTTAGGGCAACATGAATCTCTAACTTCTAATGCGTTCCTATCTTCTTTTCAAAAGTATTGGCATTAGTTGGGTCAGAATTATAAAATTCAGCCTAAAATTCCTATGCAGCATATGCAAGGCATGTTGCTGTTGCTACAAGTTAGAAGTAGGGCCAGAATGCTCACGTAGCATTCTTGAAGAGCAGTTGAGATCAGGCACACTTCTGTGTCCTCAAGGTCTATGAAGCATCTGACACAATGGACTATTTGATTTTAGGGTACTGTTTGGAGGCACACATGTTGAGCAGGTGACTAAGCTATGTATGCAGGGATCATTTCCCATTTGGCTTCTCGTCATCCTTTCCCCCTCTATCCCATGCCCACCTTTGCCAAAACTACTGTTGTTTTGGGACCACAGGGCAAAACCCCTCCAATAGACTTCATGGATGAAGCCACTTCATAATCATTCTGTAAAATGTTATCTGTCTTTACAAGCAGGGAAGTGTATTCTCAAATAAATGTTATAAATTTCTATCAAAGTACTAATTTCAGTAAAATGAAAAATCAGTCCTATTGAAAAGAATGAGACAGAAAGCACACAGGGCTGCACGTGTGACCTCCCATTCCAGATCCCTCCAAGCACTGCACCTCAAAACCATGTGCCCATGGTGGTTCACTCCCCCTGCCATCCTTGCCAACCTGTCACAAGGCATGGCCATCTGAACTCACAACGTGGGGACCACTGAAAAGTCTAAGAGCCAGAAACAGACCAGGAACATACATGACACAAGCTGAACAGAACAAGAGAATGCCAAGTGCTGGTGACAGCGACTTCAAATGACTTGCCTTCAGCATCGGTGGTGGTTTTACATAGAGATTTTTAGCTCAGTGTATACATTTTTCTCCATGTTAATTTCTGAAGCCATTAGCTCAGAGCAGAGCTGAAGAGAACTTTAAGTGCCCTTTGAGTACTGCCCAAGTTTCTTGATCTTAGACCACAAGGTGCGACATTTATGGTAGATGTTCTCATTCCTCAATTTGTTTAGAGGTTTTGGTCTCTTGTTTTGTTTTCTCTTTAACAGAGCCTGTTGTATACAGACACTTAGAAACAGAAAAATCTGTAGATGGGTAATTATGTGGTAGAGAAGGGTATCAACACAGGCCGTGGCTCATACATCTCTCCATCTGTAACAGGAGGTACCCAAAGGCATGGCTCGTTAAGTCATTTCCATGAGTACTAGACTGCTTGGGGCATCTGTCATCTGTCAAATGGGGGTGGGTGTTGCCTAATGGATGGAGAGAAGGGACATATCTTGATCACTCTCTTTCTTAGGGTTGTCCAACTGATTCTGAGTTACTTTCTTCTTCACCAGGCAGCCCCGTGACCCACATTTGGCTCCCAGGTGGATCTTCACGGTGGCAGAAAATGCTGCAGCCAAATGAGGGAAGCAGGACTTCCGCACACCAGCAGCAGGAGGTGATGCACTGGCAGACCAGTGTCCCAGTCAGTCCCGGTGGACCTGGCTGGTGTGGACTGGTCCACAGAGCTCCATCATCCTGGTGAACTGATAGCATTCACTTGGGAAGATATAAGTGGACCCAGACTCCAGAACAGCTTGGCCATCCTTTTGCTGCATACTTGCTCTTATAGAACCCTTTCTCAGTTCCTACAGATTTTGTCAAAATTCCTTTGTATATATGTATACGGTTTCTTATGAGATTGTCAACCTTTGTATTTCTTCCTATCTGCCTGCCTCATTCTTACTTTCTCCCAGCCCAGATGTGAGATTCATAAGGACAGAGATCATACCTTATAGCTTCACAGCATCAGAAGCCCTGGCCTATAACACATGCTCAATAAAAATGTTGGCTAAATGACTGAAAAAGCGATGGCGATAGGATTTACTGAAATTTACATATATACTTATATACTCATATAAAACACATTTAATATATTTACATGTTTACATTTATGTATTATATTTAGATTTAATTCACACAGGTTTGTTCTATTTAACTAAAACCAACCTCAACTATGTGCTGCCACAAGTATCTCAAGAGTCTTACAATCTGACATTCACGCAATGGCACACAATTTACTCCTAGGTAAAGTTTTGGGGTTTGGATTCTTTTCTAGGTGACAAAGCACAGCTTTTCAGATATTATGGAGATACAGATACGAGAACACACATGGTTGAAGAAGAGCTTGTGGGGTTAATAAGATCAAATCTATGTGTCACAAAGGCCACCTTGCCCTGGAGTGTTCCAAAGGACTTTGGGGTGGCATTTTAAGGGTAGAGAAGAGGCAGGGAGGAAGTCAGGAGGGGTTAGGAGGCCAGCGGGGAGGGGGTGGTGGTGGGTACCTGCAGGGTTGTGACCCCTCCCATCTTTTCAGGATCCTTGTGGCCCACTCCACGGCTGGGTTAATGCTTACTTTTCACAGTGCTCTCGTACTTGACCGGTCTTGAAGCCAGGAGCCGACTGGGAGCTGGGACTGGTGGGGGCCGACAGAGGACTCCTGATGCTCTGCACCGAGTGCCTGCGGCTCCGCCTGCGGTCCAGGCCCCGCGGCTCACCCGCTCCACCACCGCCTCCGGAACACACGCTGGCCCTCCTCCGGTCCCGGCGCCCACTGGGGGGCGGCTCTGCCGTCTCGTCGCCATCCTCGTGCCGCAGTGCCACCTGAAAAAGCAGAGAGCACCCAGTGCAAGGTGAGACTTGACAACCTCTCCTAGGCCTTAGGTGTGACGCTGCATTCCACGCTCGCCCTAATGAGGACTGTGCATCGTCTTTGCATCCTGCTAACTCAGCTTCTCCACAAGATCTTCACAAGATCTTTGGTGCCGCATGCCAAAGCGCAGTCCGTGAACTTAAAGATGCTCGCCACTGTATATTTTCCCAGTTAAATGGGTGTGAAAAGGCCCGCGGTGATCATGAGTAGGTCTGTGAAATAGTTTGTAATTAGACAGGATCTTTACCCTGGAGCCCGGCACTGTCATTTCCGGGGCTGCATCTCTACTGGACCCCCCTTGGCTCTGCTCTGGTCCAGGCGGCGAGGTCTGTCCTGAAGCCCAGCCGCAGGGAGCCCTGAACCTCCCGATCATTCCTGAACTTGCTTCCTAACAAGGGTGCTCAGAAGAGTACAGCAAGGATTCTGCTCAGAGGCAAAGAGCCACAAGGCACCCGGTGAGCGGATCGGCCTCACCCACGGATCTGTTCAGCAGCACGTACTGCCTGATGTCAGCACCTCCGCTGAGCACTGCTGCTATCAGGCTGCCCTCCCAGCCCGGTCCCAGGGTGGGGGAGGAGCCCGAAGCTACACTAGAGAGGCTGCCTATGCTAGTCACAAAAACATATACCCAAAATAGACTTCACCTCTAGATTAGTTTTTTTTTTAAATCTCTTCTTAAAATGCCTATTTGTGCAGAAGAATAATTGCCTTACACTTTGCCACTCTGAATGTCACATGGAAAGCTGAGCCAACTGGCGTCATGCCCCCGTACCACTATCCTGCTCCAAGGGGTATTTTATTCCTGCTCCCAGCCAGTGCCCTCTCCGGAGGCCCCGCTCTGCCATCTCCTAATCTCACTCTGTCCTGGATCCTGCTCCATGGCTGCCTCATTGTAGGTTAACACCATGTGCCTATGTGTTTGCTTTGCTCCCTTCTTCCCCATGCCGGTTCTTCCCAGCCAAGGGCCACACTCACCTGTTTCTCCAGCTTCTGTAAGGGTCTGTGTGTGTGTGTGTGTGTGTGTGTGTGTGTGCGCGCGCGCCTGCCCTCTCTAAAGCTAGACAGTAGGAAAAGCACAAGTTGTCCTTGACTAGATCTTTGCACACTGGCTGTGCCACTCACAAACCAGCTATGACCTGTAGCTAATTACTTGCCTTCTCTCTAGCTCACTGTATGAGCATAACAGTACTGCATTTGCAGGGTTGTGGTAAGAATAACTTATGTAAAGGTGATTTATACGACTGGTACTCAATAAATATTCCTAATAAATATGCCTCTATCTCACAGCGGTGGCAAGCCCGAGCTGGCCCCAGCCAAGTCCAGCAGTCTCTCTGACTTGGCAACTAAGGAAATACACAGTCCTATGTCCCCAAAGGTGCCAATTCTCCAGCCACATAGGTGCTCTTGGTCACATTTTACAACTCAGACCTGACAGGTGAGAGAGTGGAGAAGTAATATAAGGACTCAGATGGCTAATCATGTGATATGGTTTTAATATCACCTATCTATAGAAAACTGAGCTATTACAAAATCAGCGGTGCCCTATGTCCAAAGGGACACCTGTGCTCATCTAGGAAGGTGAGCTTGGCTGTGTCAAGACCAGGTGGGCCGCTCTCATCCCAGTTCACAGGGATGAACACCTAGGCCATGCGGCCAATTTCACAGGGGTGCCCCCACCCTCCATCTGTCTCATGTCCGGTTTCCTAGGCCATGCGGCCTATTTCACAGGGGTGCCCCCACCCTCCATCTGTCTCATGTCCGGTTTCCTCTAGCTCCAACTTTTGGGTAAGATCGATTTAGTGAAAACCCTTCCATCTTCGTGCAAGATAACATTTTATAACAAACCCAGATAGAGGAGGACAATTTGATACTATTTTGACTATTTGTTCTCCCAGAATTTATTAGTCAGACATAATTTTGGGACGTTTGAGCTAATAATTGATAAGAGTTCAGAAAAGGCCCTATTATAAAATGTCACGGGAGAGACCATTTCCCAGGGGTCTCCTCTCCAGTGTAACTGCAAGAACTAAGAATGATGGTTAATTGCATTTACCATCTCAACATTACCACTGTAAATGGCATTCTCTGGCAAAGTCGGAGAACGGTTGTATACCTGATGAAGGACAGTATTTTTAAATACTTCTGGCCAATCACTGTTTTCTTCATTTTTAGATGTAAAAATTCTAGACCATTTGAACTTATTCTGACCTGAAGTATTGACTCTGCTTCTTATTAGGCACACATTTGGAATGATAAGATTAGGGGATAAAGTAGCGTTCAGATATTTCTAATTCCTTATCTAACCTCAAAGATCCAGGGATCAAACAGCGTTCCTTTCTGAGAGGCGCACTTTGTGTACAAAGTGAAATCCGCTTTAACTGCTTTTTGTCAAAGAAGATGGAGACAATCAAAACATTTAAATGCAAAGAAAAATCTGGAAAAATTATCAAAGCAACCCCATAAAACAACTTTTAATGAGGGCTTTGTGAAGTTCAGCTCCTCAGCAAAACATCTCATAAGAAAAAGAGAGAGGGGTGTACGGAAGGGTAAATGGGGCACAGAATCCCAGTAGATGCAATGGCAGCCGCATGCTTCACAGCAAGCAACACGGAACTTGAAATTTGGGGCTGGTGTTCACTCATGATTTTGCTTTTATAACAAGAATTGTAGACTCGCCAGTATCTCCCAAAGACAGGAAGGGAGGCTTTACTTTCACATGCAGGGCTACAGTGGCAGTGCTCAGTTCCTTAGATTGTAGGGAGCACAACAAATTAGAGTGAAGACCATGCAGAAGTAGCAAAGATTGGAGAGAACAGCACTTATCATGACTCTCACTCCAAATTTGTGCGGTCAGATCTGAATAACTACCTGTGCAAGGAGTGTCCTCCACCAAACACAAGATGAGATCAGTAATGTCCCAAAGAACCTCTAGTCTCTCCCTAATGATAGAGTGTTTCATTTGCTCGGCCCCTCAACAAATGCCGTCTATTTCTTTCTTTTGTTTAATGTTTACTTAATTAATTAATTGACTGATTTTTCTTGAGAGACAGCACAAGTGAGCATGAGCAGGAGTGGTGGGGGGAGGCGGAGGGGGCAGAGGATCCCAAGCCGGCTCAGCACTGATAGCAGAGATGCCAATGTGGGGATCGAACTCACGAGCCATGAGATCATGACCTGAGCCCAAGTCAGACACTTAACTGACTGAACCACGCAGGAGCCTCGTAATTCTTTTAATTAAATGTAGAGCATGATTTATAAACTAAAAGCCAGATGAGGAGCAAGCAGTTTCCAAATCCAGCACTGACTGCTTACATACTCTACCCTACCTTTCTAGGAAAGCAGTTAGAAGCAACTTAGGTTGGCATCTGTGACAACTTCCAACAGTCCTTGAGGCCAGTGAATGATCTGAATACTCTCTAAGTTTTTATTATGGAAATTTTCACATATACACACAGTGTGAAAGAGAGTACTAAGACTGTGATGTGTTTATCACCGATGACAGTTCAACAAGTATCAACCCTGTCCAATCTTGTGTTACTTACCCCACTCCCCCCAACCCCAGACTCTGAGTTAAGTCCCAGATCACATCATTTCATCTGTAAACATTTTAGTATATATCATCCCTAAAAGATAAGGATTTTTTAAAGGCATAACCACCATATTACTGTTCCACTTAACATAATTTCTTCTTATCATCAAATATCCAGCAATGGGAACACTCTTGATGGAGGTCAAAAGCTATTACATTTCTAGGGCACCTGGATGGCTCAGCTGGTTAAATGTCCAACTTCGGCTCCAGTCATGGTCTCATGGTTCATGAGTTCTATGCTGACAACTCAGAGCCTGAAGCCTGCTTTGGATTCTATGTCTCCCTCTCTTTCTGCCCCTCCCCTGCTCACGTTCCCTCTCTTTCTCAAAAATAAACATTAAAAAAAATTGTTTTAAACTATTAAATTTGAGTTTATATTACCATATTACTACTCACATCATAACAAGCAACCATCGTTACATAATAGAACACAATCTTTTTCCATATTGCTATCTTACCCCTTCTTTTTAATCCATACCTATACATCTTCGTTCGGCTTTTAAGTGAAGTGATGCCAATGCCAGTAGCATTTCAAGAAGGAACTATGCTAATGACACAGCTTGTAGAATATTCTCACAGTGCTAGGCTCTCAGGGAACCACACCTCCCTCTATCCTCTTGTGTAGTCCCCTCCTACATTGAGCCTTTGCTCAATGTCCCGAAGTCTTCTTTGGGACTTGCTTTGGCCAATGGGACACCAGCAACATGCTACAAACAAGGCCTGAGAAGTGTTTGCACATGGGGACTTGCCCTTCTGAAATGCTCCTTCTGTGTGAAGCGGGTCAGCCTGCTGAAGACAGAGCCTCGCCAGCAGCCAGCACCAAATGTCAAACCAAGTGAAGGAGGCCACCTCAGACCATTCATCTCCAGTCAAGCCACCATGTAACTGCAGCATACTCTCCTGAGGGATTCACCTGCAGGAAAATCCCTCAGCTGAACCAGGGCTAAATTTCTGACCCACAGAATCATGAGCAATCATTGCTGTTTTAGACCACTGTTTTTGGCTTGTTTTGCAGTAAGAGTAACTGATACACATTTTAAAAATCACCTATGACAAGAAAGGCTTTTAATAGATTAGAGATCAGTTAACGATTCCTAACAGTAATAGTTACCCTTCTTTTGTAGGGTCCCTGGAATGAATTCCAACACGGAGGATTAAGCAGTTCTTGGATGCCAGCAGGGTGGCTACAAATTAAACTCAATTCAACTCATCAACTCAGTTCTGACACTATCTACCCAGAGACAGCATCAAATATTCTAGGTTAAAGATTCAGTCTACCGGACTGCCCCACTGCCCCCCACCCCATTTCAGATGCCAGTCGCAAGCTCCAGCCTGTTCCCTGTGTTTCTGACCCACCAGATG